TTTGGAGAGGCGAGGTGACTCCTCGCGGGGCTCCGAGGGCCCTCGGGAGAACTGGAGGGCGGGCGGAGGTGTTGGGGGCACGGTCTCAGAGATCCTGGAAGGGGTCCTGCAGCGTCTAGACTCCGCTAGACGGAGACGCCCTCGAGACGCGCGCGGCCGGCCGCTCACCCAAACAGCCCTCGGAGGAAGGAGTGGGAGGCTTTGACTCGCTTCTCGGCCTCCGCCATCAACTGCACCGCCTCGCGTTCCTTGCCCGCGTTGTCCATGTCGCTGTCAGTACCCCAACTACCACAGCCTGTTCCCGATGCTCCGACAACGCCTTCACCGCCTTCCTCACATCCTGGTGAGCGCAAGCGCAAGCGCGGCGCGCACGCGCAGTCGGGAATTGTAGTCCGCAGCTCTGCCACCGGGGCGCCGATGTTGGAACCACGGACTGCATTTCCCAGGTGGCCACGGGCCGGGCTGTGTGTCGCTCGGAGTTCAGAGCTGAGTGAGACAAGATCCAGTGGAGCGGTCCTAACCTAGACTTCTGTAAGCTTTGGTGTGGGAATGGAAAATGATCCGTGACTTCCTGCAAAAACAATCACCTCGAACGCACAATGCCATGATGATTTGGGCATCCCTGCTGAACACAACTGAAATATAGCGATGAGATGGATAAAGAGAGGCAGAGAGATAGCAGACTTGGAAGTCTTTTTTCTTTCTTTCTTAGTATATCTAATTTTATTTGTTTGTTTATTTATTTTGATCGTTTAATTGGGGGCTCAGACTTGGAAGTCTTACTACGGACGCAAGTTCTCCTAAACAGCCACAGCAAACAATTTCATTATCATGCGATGCCACCGCCAATACACCAGAAAGAATCCAAATAGTGGCAGAGAGAGCCATTTTTATTTCCGAGGGCGAGACCAAACCAAAAAATCAAATCCACTGCCATCAGTCAATGCAGACTTATAGTGACCCCTGTGGGTTTACCAGACTGTTACTGTTGACAGCAGAAAGTCCACCAGGAGGGTCGCTGGCCAATGGGTAACCACGACACTACCAGGGTTTGCCACCTAAGACTATAGTATCTTCTCCAATAGACATTCAGACTTATTTTTAAGTTCTCAAAATGTAACTTTTGGTCGGTCCTCCTTTCCTTGACTATAATTGAGTTAGCATTTAATATGCATAATCCACTCTCTCTATTGACTGCATCCTATGTTTTCTTTTCCTTTCTATAATACTAGTTCAAGAGGAGTAGGTAGCAGTAGGTCTTCTGGGACAAAATTTTTGCCTGCCAGGAACCACTTCTAAACTCCTGGAAGTATCTGTGGATCTTGTGCCAGACTTGCAGGCCTGTTCCAGCAGTAATGCCATGTAGACCATTTAGTCTTGGAAATACCATAGCCAAGGTGATGAAGCAAGTATAACAATCATTGCCAAGTGAAATTGGCATGCAAATTTTAAGAAATGAAACCTGTCATTAGAGAGCAAAATAAGAAGAGCCAAACTCCTAGAAAGAAAAATAATAAAAGCATTATGTCATCGAGTTCATTCATTGTATGACACTCTACAAAGGGAAAGAAATACTGGTTGTTCATGTAGAGCTTATTTGCTATTGTATGCATTATTCTCATTTGAACAGGCTTCTTTCATAGTGCATAGGGCTTTTGGAACTGTGTGTGTTTGGAATTATAGGAGAAGGAGTCAGGAAACAAGGCGACTGTAAATGGAGGAGAAAAATTACAAATAGTGAAAGGAGCATTAGAAAAGCGGAACTGTCTGTGGGGATCAAGAAATCACCATTAGGGTTTGTCACATTAACCCTCTCCAGCTTCCCTTCACCCCCATGAGTCTGTTCCTGTTCCACTCCAATTCTCTTACTGTACTTAGTGTCATTTACTCCATGCTTTCCTTGTACCCCACCTCAGTCACTTACGAATTTTCATAACTTTGTAGTATAACCCAGAGGCAAACATGATGTTTCTTGAGAGAGCCTTCAGATAAACTCTGATAATTAGCCTAAGAATCTAATCGTTGCTATCTGGTTAGTCAACAGAGACACGCTGAGACTATTCTGTCTGCTTGCTCGTGGTCAACACTGGCTTCCCACAATTATACAGAACCTGGTGTGATGGTTAGGTTTGGTGCCAATTCTGCACCGGTATAGAAGGTAAAGGAGGGATGGGTGGAGTCCTGCCTAT